ATTAACTACAGGTCAAGTTATTATTTGTTGTTCCTACAACTTGGTTAAGTGACAAGACTTTTGTCCAGGCAAAAGTTAACCTTTCTGTCCTAATTTTGGTATAATAAGCATAATCTAGAGGGCTTTGCCTTTCTTATAAGCCATTTCTGATTCCAACTGATTAACTACAGGTCAAGTTATTATTTGTTGTTCCTACAACTTGGTTAAGTGACAAGACTTTTGTCAGGCACTGTACAATAAAAACATAAAGAGCTGTATTATATCAAATATGATGCACACAGTCTCACGCATGCATATGATTACATCATAAATGTCATACATTTTGTGTATATGTATACATCCGCCCATTCATTTTCCAGCTGTGTATCTTGGCCAGATCTCAAGACCGGGCTGCAGCCTGGTCAAGATGCCAGTCCATTGCAGAGCAAGAATTCGGGGTTAGCTTTATAAAAATAGAACGAGTGAGGAGAGTATCACCATCAGAGGGAGGGACTCGAGCATCACCACAAGCAATAGGAATATACCTATCATACAGTACATGGCCTGTTAATATGTTAAATCTCAGATACAGTTCCCATATTGTGCTGGCCAGTAATCTGTGGATGCTGTAGGTTCTAATCACTCAGCCGTTTAAAGTTACAGTGGATCATTGTATGAGAAGGCCAAAAAAAAGATAGATATATAGATAGATAGATATAGATAGATAGAAAGAAAAAGACTTTATTGATCCCACACTGGGGAAATTTACTTGTTGCGATAGCCAGTAAATAAAAAGCAATACAATTCAGTGGTAAATGTGTTAGAACTCTGTGACAGTCATTCTTGGGTGTAAATCTTTGAAATGCTGCCAACAACAAGTCAGTTTTGCATTTTTCTTTGGCTAAACAGTATGACCACCTTGTATCCCCTTCAGGCTGGAACAGTGCAGCCTCACAGAGGAGTGTTGTGAGATACTGGCCTCAGTACTCAACTCCTCACACCTGAGAGAAGTGGATCTGAGCTGTAACGCCATAAAGGATTCAGGAGTGAAGCAGCTCTGTACTGCACTGGGGGGTCCACTTTGTAAATTGGAGACTCTGAGGTAATTTTTCCTTTGATGATTATTTTCATACCAGATGGTTTTTGATACATGTCTGGGTATTGAATTATTATACCTTTATTCTGTCCTGAATTCGTGCTAATTTTGATTAGAGGATAATGAGCAATGCCTTGATTTTCTCTGGAACCATGGGTTATTTTTTTTTGCTGTGGCAGGCAAGGACACACGAGAGACAGGGGGTGAGGGCAAATGGGGGTGGCTGTTCCTCTAGGGCAGTCACACGGGCAGAGAGCGTTGGCCCTGGGGAGGCAGTCCTGTCCCCTGCTTGGGACAATTACTGGCTACTGGCCACATCCTGCTGGCCCTCGTTGTAGCCAATCAGAGAAAACCATGGTTACTGTAGTCCTGTGTGGTTCTGATCACCCTCTACTGGTCTGTCGCGTCACACTCTCATGCAAAGTTCTAAGAAATTTTGCAATTGCACACTTAACTTTAATTATCCGTTAGATTTTCTTTTAGAATTTTGGAGCCACCCATAGTCCAAAAGGGATCTAGACAATCGTCTGTTCCATGTAGTATTTATAAATTTGCTAGATTTCTCCTGACAGTGGGTATACAGTATTTGTCTATAGTATGTTGTTCACATCTGCCTCATTGACCAGCATTGATCCACGCTGTTTTCATATTGCTGGCCTAGAATGGGGTACTGTGGGCCTGAAGCCTATTCCAGGCAGTGTAAGGCACACTGGATGCCAGTCCATTGAATGACACACGCTGTGAGCAATTTAGACGCATCCACTAGGATGCATGTATTTGGACTGCAGGAGGAGACTTGTGCATCCTCCACATGCAGGATTTGAACCTCTGACACTGGAGGTGTGAGCCTGCTATAGCAATTTTGCAGAAATGATTTCCTGTAATATTTCTTCAGTTAACAGCTTTTGGATATTTAGTCTAATTTCCCTATGATTTTTTTAGTTTGCGACAGAGTACCCTCACAGATACATGCTGTGAAGCTCTGGCTACTGCCCTCAGCTCAAACCCCTCACAGCTGAGGAACCTGGACTTAAGTGACAATGACCTGGGGGACTCAGGAGTGAGGCTGCTCACTGATGGGCTGAAGAGTCTACACTGTAAGCTAGAGATACTGAGGTCAGTATTACTGGGGAATCCACACTGTAAACTCGAGACACTTAGGTCAGTATTACTGGGGAATCCACACTGTAAACTCGAGACACTTAGGTCAGTATTACTGGGGAGTCCATACTGTAAACTCGAGACACTTAGGTCAGTATTACTGGGGAGTCCATACTGTAAACTTAAGACACTTAGATCAGTATTACTGGGGAATCCACATTGTAAACTCCAGACACATAGGTCAGTATTACTGGAGAGTCCATAGTGTAAACTGGAGATTCTGAGGTTAGTATTGCTGGGGTATTCTCTCATGAAGCTGAAGATACTGAGGTCATTAGTTCTACATAATACATATAATAATGTGTAACGAATGTTCTGAAGTGCTGATATTGGCAGTTCTATTTTGTTCATAAGATAGTGATATATTTTATTTAACATTTTTAATGACTGTTGTGCCATTGTTCTGTATCTGGTCAGCAGTAAATTGCTCGTGCAAGTATCACAATCATAAGGAGGTCAGTTGGCCCATTGCAGATGTGGATATTTGAAAACTGAAGTTTCGAGTCTTCTAGAGACACTTCATCAGCAAGCAGTTGTGTAAGGTGATATTATCTTTTACCTCATCCACCTGTTTTTGCAGGCTGGCAGGCTGTCATGTCACACAGGAAGGCTGTGCCACTCTGGCTTCCAGTCTGTGTTCCTGCCACTCACAGCTGAGAGAGCTGGATCTGAGCTACAATCACCTTGGAGACTCCACAGCACTACAGGATCCCAACTGTAAACTGGAAAAACTAAAGTGGGTGTCAACTGTATATATGCTGCTTCAGGGGGATGTTGCGCACTGAAGTTAACCAAGCAAATGCCCCTTGGATTTTTCCAATCTGGTGTAGAAAAGAAGATATATAAATTGTGTTTAGTCTTTTTCTGTAATCAATCAGGGTGATGTCATAACAGTATATACAGTGAGTGTCAGGACCTACAGGCTGTTTGCAGCTCAACCAATCAGCAGTGATTTCGAAGGCAGCAAAGGAATAAGAAAAAGTGGACATTGTTATATAAATTCAGCAATTCGATTAGGTCATCAAATTGTATTTATGTTAATAACAGCCATTACATATTCAACTTTTTTTGGCAATATTAGAAATTCATTCTTTTCTAACAGTATCTTACAATTTGTTTACTTCTCTGCTGACTGTTCCATAGAGCAGCACATAAGTATTTGGTGATTTAGAATATGAAGCAGGAAAGTACAATATAAGGCTCGCATTATGCAATGTTTTAGCTGTGAGTGCCTTTGGGTCACCCCTCTCTCTCTTCCCCTTCAGTGTGAATCACAGTGGGGAATGCAGACTCCGACCAGGACTGCTTAAATGTGAGTACCTTCTGGACAAATAGCTGCGAATGGTGATGCCCACACAGGGAAGGATAGAATGAAGAGAAATTTGGGATAGAGGACTATGCTCCTTGGGGAACTTAGATTGATACTGACTTGAACACATGGGCCATTTGGACATTTTACCAAATACTGAGCTCTGTTTTTCGCAATTGAGAGTTTCTCACAATCCCTTGTAACAGGATTTAAAATATGAGGAAATTCACATTAGCCATCAAATTTCAATATGCGACACTGAGCAGTTTCTCAGGGGGGGTTTCAGGTGTAATAGCTCTGTTATTGGCTGCCAGTGGTCAGGGGCGGATCTAGGCATAGGCATACTAGGCAGCTGCCTAGGGTCAGACCAGCCGAAGGGGGTCAGACCAGCTGAAGGGGGTCAGACCAGCCGAAGGGGGTCCAGACCAGCCGAAGGGGGCCAGACCAGCCGAAGGGGGCCAGATCAGCCAAAGGGGGTCAGACCAGCCGAAGGGGGTCAGACCAGCCGAAGGGGGCCAGACCAGCAGAAGGGGGTCCAGACCAGCCGAAGGGGGTCAGACCAGCCGAAGGGGGCCAGACCAGCAGAAGGGGGCCAGACCAGCCGAAGGGGGCCAGACCAGCCGAAGGGGGTCAGACCAGCAGAAGGGTGTCAGACCAGCTGAAGGGGGGCCAGACCAGCAGAAGGGGGCCAGACCAGCAGAAGGGGGCCAGACCAGCAGAAGAGAGTCCAGCGGAATGTACCAGGGAGGGGGTCATTTAATGTCTTCATGTGAAAATCACCAAAGCAACAAAGTGTCAACCTAGGACCCCTGAAATGGTAGATTGGGCCTTGCCTGTTGGCATTGCGTGTGTTATGTGTTTGGTGTAAATTGTGTGTGTAAATGTTGTGCGTGTAAATTTGTGCTCTTAGTGTCAAACATTGTGTTCTTAGATTTCTTCTAAAACCTTCCTTAGTTTTGGGGACAATTTTCAGGTCCCCATTTGGATAACCTCAATTTTATACTGCTTTTTGACTGCTTTGAATGCAGTCAAAAAACTAAAAAAAGTCTTGTATTTTGTTTGGTTACTTATGGCAAAGGTATAGGGCTGGGTAGGGGTTAAGGTTATCTTTGTTGGGATTAGGGTTTCCCCATAGAAATGAATGGATGGTCTCCAGAAAGATATGATTACAAACATGTGTGTGTGTGATTTCCCAGCTGATGCAAACTAATTTCTGCCTGGGAGTCTATAGCATCGCTGCATCAGTGACGGTGTTTGACTTTCCCCGTCCACAGACGCCTGCACGCTCACTCTGGACCCGGACACAGCGCACAGATGCCTGATCCTGTCTGAGGGGAACAGGAAGGTGACGCATGAGAGAGGGGACCGGAGGGCAGATACCGATCAACCAACCATTCAGCGCTTCACCCAAGTGCTGTGCAGGGAGAAACTGAACAGTCGCTGTTACTGGGAGGTGGAGTGGGATGGGGAAGGGGCTTGGATAGGGATGGCTTATAAAGGAACGACCAGTAGACAAGAAGATGACACATGGATTGGATTCAATGCTACATCTTGGAGTCTTAGCTGCTCTGGTAAAAGCTACACTGTGTGGCACGACAGCTCCGCTGCCGTATCCGTCCCCCAGCCCCCCAGTAGCCGAGTGGGCGTGTACCTGGACTGGGAGGCCGGCACTCTGTCCTTCTACAGTGTTACCTCTGAGAAAAGGACCCACTTGTACAAGTTCACCACCAAGTTCACTGAGCCTCTCTATCCAGGCTTCTGGGTGCTTTGGGGCTCCACGGTGTCACTCTGCCAGCTTTGATTGTGGGGGTCCGAACACACAAACACCCGCACGTGACCCGCGCTTATGTTAGCACACAAACACCCGCACGTGACCCGCGCTTATGTTAGCACACAAACACCCGCACGTGACCCGCGCTTATGTTAGCACACAAACACCCGCACGTGACCCGCGCTTATGTTAGCACACAAACACCCGCACGTGACCCGCGCTTATGTTAGCACACAAACACCCGCACGTGACCCGCGCTTATGTTAGCACACAAACACCCGCACGTGACCCGCGCTTATGTTAGCACACAAACACCCGCACGTGACCCGCGCTTATGTTAGCACACAAACACCCGCACGTGACCCGCGCTTATGTTAGCACACAAACACCCGCACGTGACCCGCGCTTATGTTAGCACACAAACACCCGCACGTGACCCGCGCTTATGTTAGCACACAAACACAACGCTAATGCTGAGCAAAAGAGAAAAGGCGTCATTAGCTTCAATAATATAAATAATAAACTAGAGCAAACACCAGCATCCACACCAGCAATTTGTGATAAAATACGACATCTAACATGAGGTTTTCATTTAGAGTTAGGAAGTATTATATCTTTCCATGTATGTGTGAGTGGAGCTTGAATTATTTTTTTCTGTGACCATGTGACTCTTCCTTCTTTTCTTCATTCACATTATGCCTATCTTATAGGAAATACCCCCCCATCATACCTTTCTTTAAATGTGTATTATTAGACAATATATTGCCATGTATTGTTAATTATACCCAGAGTCATAATACCAATGTTCCTATCAATAGTAACAGAAACACATATTAGCTGCACCGTGCTTTTTTCTGCAGAATATTATTGCATTTTGACTATTAGTTCACTTTGGTAAGTTATAACACTAATACTTATTAATGGAACACGAGGCTGTATTGTCAATGTGTTTGACCATTCACCCACCCAGCTTGTCCTACTGAAGGTCGTGCGGGTCTGGAGCCTATCCCAGAGAGCATGCAAACTCCACACACATGGAGACATGGCGGACACTCGAACCCCAGTCCCAGAGGTGTGAGACAGCAGTGCTGACCACTGTGTCTCCCAATTTGTTATTCAATTCTGTCTTTTTATCTTTTGTTAAAGTCAAGCTGTCTTAGCTCTATGATGCCTGCATCATACAATGAGATGACCTGCCAAAAAAGTAACAAATACAATAGAGGTTAAACTTGTCATGTATGTTGAGTCTGCATGTTCTCTCTTGTTTGGGTGGGTTTCAGTCCATAGAGGTGCACTTATGCTGACTGGCATGTGCAGATCGCCTATATTGTATGATTGGGTGTGTGATGTGTCCCTGTGCCAAGCATGGACTGGCATCCTGTCCAGATTGTCCCCCTACGCCACATATCTCAAACTCAAGGCCCCCACAGCACAATTTTTTACTGTCTGTGAAATGATTTTAATTTTCTGTTAAAAATGGGTCAGGAATAGGGGTGTATTGTTATACAAAATTCATGGTTTGATAGAAAACTTGGTTTTGGGTCCACAGCATGGTACAATTTCGGGACAGCGGGGAAAACTTAATTTGTTTTGAAATGACTTACTACTAAACCTGCAAAAACAAACACAATTAGAAGCAGCTGTAAACCAAAGTACAGACACCCCATCTGTCTGGAAGCTCCACGATTTTCCTGCTAATCGACAGCAGCCCCCTGACACCCTGCATAGGACAAGCGGGTATGGAAAACGGATGGAATATGTACAATAAAATAAATAAAAATTCATAAAATAAGACTGGATTGCAACTGTCATAATGAACCAAATCCTGTGTTTCCTGCTACAGAGTACGGTTGCATATCTGTGGCGATAAACACCCCTATAGCCATAGTTATTTTTCAGCCCGGTCTGAACTTTCTGGCAAAAGCCTTAAATGCCACAGGGGGACTGATTTGCAGGGTCGGCTTCTGCAGAGTCGGTTTCTGCAGAGTCGGCTTCTGCAGAGTCGGTTTCTGCCTCGCTCTGGTTATACACACACTCAGATGATGTTGTCTCAGATGAGTTAGCATGTTGGATGGGTTTCCAGCAGCAAATCCGAGGTTGGTGTTTCAGAGCCAACAGACAGTTTTGGTCTTATCAACTACTCTATCTCCAATGTTGGTGTACTTTAATGGGAAACCAAAATGTTCCCAAACCGCTGATTATGGTTGACTGTAACCGGCTCTAGTCTTAACCAACTCACAGCCCCAATTAGTAAGTTTATAACCATTACAAAAATTTTCAGTGCTAAAATGCTGTTTGAACGCTGTCAACCAAACTGTATTGTTGGGTTCAAAAAAGGTCTGGAAATATGTACATGCTATTAAATAAACCATCTAGAAAATGTAAAATTACACGTAGTGGTCATTTTCCATAACTGTATTTTTATTTAATTGTACAGCCATTCATTCATTCATAGTTGAAATTCAATTAAACTTGGCCAACTATAAGTTATACACCGTTAGCTGACCAACTGCTCCTATGGAAACTACTTCTGAACAGTTACAATTAAGCCATAACACATATCAATGTAAGAGAATAGAACAACTGATTTCTTTTAAAAATCCCTCAGTAAAATAAAACCCAAAGGTCAGTGGATTTTTGAGTAACATTTTTCTTCATATTTCATTTCGGGTTTTCCTTAATGGTAACAGTGCGGCTCTCTGGGATTCTCAGGTCCCGAAAAGCACACGGCCTCATCTCCACCAGGGTCCGAGGCAGCTGATGGCAGCTGGACGTCTCGCACACAAGCGGCGAGGGAGGTGCTGCCCGTGGACGCCAAGTAAGACATGGAGGTGCTTGAGAGTGTCATGGATGGAGGCAAGCAGAAGGCCAACATGTTCTCCAACTTCAAGAAGCAGGAGTAGAGGGAGCTCTGCATGGACAATGGTGACAACCATGGTTAATTAGGAATCCTAGCAGGAATTAAATGTTTGTTATCATTTTTGGTGTGATTATTATTGTGGGAACAATTACTAAGAATTAGATATGACCTAACTCAAACCCACAGCTTCCCAGCACAGAAACAGGCACAGATCCCTAACCCTGTGCGCTTAGCTGAACACTTGGACTTAGTTCAAGACCTGTGGCCTGTACCACAAAGGGGGTTACTGGCTTATCGGGGTAACTTGTCGGATTTAAGGTAGTCTGGGCAAAATATAAGTGAACGAATATGAAGTCCATTTAACCTGTGGTACCTTAAATCCAACAAGTTACCCCGATAAACCAGTAACCCCACTTCGTAGTACAGGCCACAGGTCCCCATCAGCATGTTACAACTCCATGTGTAAAACCAGTATGCTACCTGGAACCCAAACATGGAAGTTACAAAATGCCCCCAGCTGCATGAACTCACAGATAGTACCAACCTCCATACATACTAAGTGACTAACGAGCGAGTAGTGTACACAGCACAGATACGCCGGACAAATAGATGGTTCATGTCCCAGGCGAGACGGTGGGAGATTTCATCACACTACTCAGAATGGTGTGTAATTTCAAACTTATGAATTGTTTATTTTTGGAATTTTCCATTTAATATTTTCATATGTAATTGGACCTATGTAATGTAATGCAAGTGTTTCCTGAAACCAGAGTTGGAACTATGGCAGTAACTACGTTGCTAACTTACAGTACAAACCATCGTTAAATGATAGCTAGGTGTTTCCCAAAACCATAGTTCAAACGAACGTTCGCAAACACTGCCGTTAAATTGTGTAGTTCGAATTAAGGCTCTCAAGCTGTAGTTAGAAGCTACGATACAGGTGACTATGTTATCGACGGCAGAAAATGAAGTCACCATGTAAATAAGGTGCATTGTATAATGTCAGTTGCTTTGAAAATGTAGTTCTGAGAGTACTTTTTACGTACTTCTCTGTTCAGAAGTATGTTATGATTGGAGAGGATGTTGTTTAGGGCTACTCGATTATGACATCGCAATATCACATCAAGTAATATCGCAATATTTATAAAACCAAAAAGGAGATGAAATTACCCAAAATAAAGTACAGACGCTCCTCTACTTACAAACTCTTAATTTACGAACTTTCAGACATACGAACGAAGAGGACTGTAAGCCCAAATTGTGTTCGTTGGGCTCCCGTTTCCTGTCCGCAACATAATTTTTTTTTCTGCGCACCTTTTCTGCCTAGTACGACTTCTGGCCGCTACTCCCACCGCGCAGCAGCGTAGCGTGCAAACTCCCAGTATCCTAGTTCTTTGTACTTGCGTATACCCTTAAAATGATGTTGAATAACGACTTACGAACATTTCAAGTTATGAACGGCCGTTCGAAACGTATCTCGTTCACAAGTAGAGGAGCATCTGTACTGCCAAATAGAACTTATCTAAAGATAGCATGTGCGAGTTGTGTTAACGGACACAAAGCAGTGCCGACAAATTACTAGGCACGCGCACATCGCAATTACAATGCTGAAACGATTTATCGCCATTCAGTGGAGTATAACTCATATTTGTAGCTGGGTTTGTAATTGTGAATACTTCAGTGTTGAAGTCCTATTCCATGTGATGTTTTTGTTAAAAGTTTGTATGAAATAGTAAGTAGTAAGATAGAACAAGAAATGCAAAATAAACAGGGATTACACTCATTTGGAAAAGAAACTGCAAAATCCAGACAGATAATGAATAAGCTACATCTTACCAGATCACTGCACAAGACACTGTTGAGCCGTCCTATAAGCCAATCCCAAGTGAAAGATTCTTCTAGAAACTTTACCCGGTGAAAAGCAGCCATTACGCTGGCACCCGCAATTGTGGATGGCAGGTATTTGGAAAATGTGTACTCTGTAAGCGAAAAAAATATTATTTTAAGAATAATTATTAGTGAGAGTACTCGAGTATTCGAAGATGTACATTTAGGTGAAGTGGTAGGGTATTTCTACATTGCCCATTGTAGGCGACTCTGTGTGTTTGCCCTGTGATTCACTGCTATTCTGTCCAGATGATGCCCCTGCATTCTGCACTATTCAGGCTAACAAGCTGCACGGCCTCCAACCTGCATCCCTGTACTGAAAAAGCTGTTAGAAGATACAGGGATGAATGGTCAGCGTTGAATAACCCAGCTAGCAGGGAACGTTCCCAGAACTTGAAAAATATGGTTTTCAAATAAAATATTATTTTCTAAAAGTACATCTCATGGATGCAATGCTACCTGTTGCACTACTTCATTGGCTTTCATATTATTAATCTTAGTTGTATTAGTAGCTGAAGTAATGGGATAATGTTTTGGGAACATTTCAGGACACCAGGAAAACTGGACAAGGTTTGCATACCTTAACCGTAACGTTCTGTAAACATTGCTAGAACAAATAATTCTTAGGGGGGAAAATGGCCAACAAATCACACAATTTGCCTCCCAAATTGCTTCAACATATTTTTGATAATACCTACACTCGTATTTACAGAAGTATGGAAGTCCAGAGAAGACGCTCATCATCATTTTTTTCTACCCGTTGTTTCAGGATCATGACTTATTTTTCTCATGATCTTGAGAGAACAAAAAGTACAAAAGTATGAAAGATATTTTTCTTGTGATCTTGACATAACACCTAAGCTCATGAATTTAATCGTTTTGTTTAGCGTGTTTTCTTAAGATAACAAGTTGTTTGTAATCACAACTTTTATCTTTTGTTTTTCGGGCATGGTGAGGTAGATGACTGCCAGAACTGCCTGCGTTACTGTGCATGCCACAGCATCAGGATACAGGACAGGTCTGTTGAATAAACTCCCCATTTAAACCCTATAACAAAGTTTAATAGTCAATCTTACTCAAAATGTACTGTTTCTGTCCCTTAATTTCATTAACGGTCTAGTGAGCAGTGATCACTACCTTGCAGTTTGTAATTATGTCTTCTCGATTACAGATGTGAAGTTAGAATGCTTCAACAACTCAACATTATCTCACTGTAATATTCCCATTTATTGTAAAATAACTTCAAAATTGTGATTTAGTGCTCGTTTGTCGAGTGACAAACACTAATATGACAACTGTCTGGTACTGACAGACATCCTGCTATTTCTACTTTGATGGTCCATTATCACAGCGAAATGTAACGTGTTGTTCCATGATGACGCAAAACCAACTAAGCTACTAAACCTGTTTGAAGATCAAGGGGGTAAATATAAGTCATCGCAAGATCATAAGAAAATTAACACGAGAGAACTTCATTATAATGAAATCGCAAGAAAATAAGTCATGATCTCGAGATAATAGGGAGGAAGACATAATGATGCTACGTGCACTCTCTGAAATGCCATTCAAAAGACCATTTATCTAAAAAGTACCAAAACAGATTTATAAGGCCTATATCATTCTGTCCTTTGATTGTACTTCCCAAGATAGTTACTGACATTTAGATGGGATTTTCACTTATGCATCCCATCCATCTTCCGTAACTGTCTATCCAGTACAGGACCCCAGACATGAGTACTTACCAATAGTTGTCAGAGCGATGTAGGAATGGATGTGTTTATGTAGAATGCTGCTGTTGAGAGGAACGGCCGATAATTGGTGTAGAATCTGCTCCAGGAAGTCAGAGGGCAGCACAGAGGCAAGGTCCCAGTTCAGCCGGGATACGACTATGAGCTCCCATTTCTGTGCCAGCAAACAAAACAAACTCATCATGAAACTAAATTTCTACCACATGGCGTTGTTGAGATTCACTAAATATACTATGTACATTAAATATACAGTCTACCACCTCATCATACCACTTTTCTAGCCAGTGGTGTTGGGCAACACAGCATATAGGCCGAGCACTCGGTCCAAGAAGACATTACCGATCTAACGCTCGGTCCAAGAAGACATTACCGATCTAACGCTCGGTCCAAGAAGCCTTTACCGATCTAACGCTCGGTCCAAGAAGACTTTACCGATCTAACGCTCGGTCCAAGAAAACATTAACGATCTAACGCTCGCTCCAAGAAGACATTACCGATCTAATGCTCGCTCCAAAAAGGCATTACCGATCAATACATTTCTGATTCACACAACCTCAAACATTTTGCTCCATTTCATGAGTGACTGAATGCAATCTGTTATGTTTTGAAGTTAAATTTCTGTTTCATTTAATAAAACTATACATTTCATAAATAAACAGGTGTTGTTTAAGCATTTTACATTCAAGATATATACTCTTTATTAACTATTAATCTGCTCCCTCAAATAGTGAATTATGTGGCTGCAACTGAATATGTACAGCATGCAGGCAGCAGTAAGAGGTTCAACTGCCATCAGAATGGCTAAGACACATGATGTAGGTGATTTTAAACACAGTCTGATTGTGGGTCACTGATCTGATTGACCTGTTGGCGAAAACTGATCAACCAATAAGAGGAGAATGGCCAGATTAATTTAAGATAATGGGAAAAAATTAACAGCTTGGTCCAACGGTGGAGTACTGAAAGGCATCTCCGAATGCACAAATCCTAACTGTTAATATGTAGGGGTACCTTATAAAGTGGCCACTCACTGTATTCATTTACCACAGAATTCAGAATTCAAAATCAACACTTTTGTGATCCAGTCTCAAAAAACTGTACGTTATGAACTTCAAAGGTAGGATTTATGGCATGGTTGTCACTCGGTCAGTGCACAAAAACACATCCAGATGGGTTTGTGTGTTCGAAACCGATGGATGCTTTCAGGCCACAATATCTACTGGTGTCAGCGGATATCTTGCGGGAGTCCTTGTAACCAATGATTTCCCTGTAAGGTCACATGATGCCAAGAAATACAAAACCAGGTGGACCCTAAGGTTCAAACAGTCCAATAAACATATACACATTGATAAAGGAATTAGAGACTTTATTCATTAACACTAGGATGCAATCAAATGCCTTCCATCATCAGATCGAACCTTGAGATGCTCTGCAGTGTGGGTGGATTCCAAGAAGAGCCAAAGGCCCAACTCAATAAGTCAATGATATTATTATGTATTTGTAGGTGTTTCTGCTATTTTCAGCCCCTGTATGTTTAGAGTTTTTATTATCACCATTTTGGTAACATAGTCATTATACACAAGTGTTAAATGGGGACATACCAGAATCTCCGACACCTTGATGCTGCAGTCGGTGTAGATGCACAGCTTGGTAGCAGTCAGCGGGACGGTCTCACGAAGCTTGGAAGCCAGAAACAAACAAACTGTGCCCAGGAGCTGCAGGTGAGTCTTCTTTAGTGGAAAACCAGCCAAGTACCGATCCAGGAAATTGACTGACAAGGGAAACACCTCATCTTCGCACTTCTGCTCCTCACAAACCTGTGGCAGACAGAGCGCGATGATTACAACACCAAGCTCCAGTGAACTAGTACTTACAGTCCATTAATTATTACTTGTATTGTTATGTCAGTGAAATGTTGTTCACCTAGAAATTTAAACTCTATAGACAAAAAGAAGAACATTTTTAGAAAACATTTTTGCACAGTTTCTTTAAAATATATAGGCTAACTGTAACGTTATGAGATTTTATACAAGGACCAAAAAACCCTGAACTTAATCACCTGACATTTTGTGATCCGCACAGTCAGTCTTCGTTCTCGGTAAATTCGCATGTAGTTTGCATTCATATGGATCAATGAAATACTCTTTCGTGGCTCTGATTAGCTGGTGGCTGCTTATATCTGGACAACGTTCAAAACATTTCAGCTAATAGACAAATAACTCCAGACAGTGCAGCATCTTAACTGCGTTATAATCTTTTCAGCAGCTCAAAAGGTAGGATTTTATGTTAGCTCCATAAACTTGGGTGCCAACAAAAGATTAAATACGTTTAAAGGGCTGCTTGTGCCCGTTGTTCCCGGGACAGGCTCCGCCCCCCCGCGACCCCAGTGGGGACTAAGCGGTTACGATAATGGATGGTTGGACGTTTAAAGGGAAGTGTATGTGTGCAGGATAGTCGCAGGACTATATCGCGGGCTACAGCTATGATCCATCAAGGTGAAAATTTTAACTTAATAGATTCAGGATGCCAAATCACACGCATCTGGCGTGACACTCACGCTTTGAGACTCTCACGCAAGAAATCTTACTGAAATCTATATCATTCCATTATAAACCTAAAATTAGCTATATCAAAAGCGTTGGGGTAGTTTGCAAACCCTACAGACTATTTACAAGGTAATAAAACTCTTACATACATGTAAATGTGTGTGCATGTGTATGAAGCCAGCTGACCAGACTTGGCAATCCTGACAATAACTGGCCCGTTTAGTAGAATCCCCCCCCGAGTCTTGTGCACGGTCACTGCAATCCCTGCAATCCTCCCACCTGGAACATCCACGCCGTCAGCGTCCTTCGCATGTGCGGCTGAACGTCAGTCTGGACGCGGCCGAAGTAGGAACCGGTGCCGGCGGCCCAGTGCCGCTTCTCCAGGGCCAGCAGGTTATTCAGCGCCCTGCTGTCCTCAGCCACGGCCGGGTCACAGGTAGCCCGAAAGGCGCAGCACAGCTGGGCCGCCGGCCAGTTCGGAAACTGATCGTCTTCCAGGCACATTAAATTCATCTGTAAATGCAACCAGATTAAAAAAAATCCAGATTGTTCCCGAAAGCACGCGTGCGTAGCGGCAAGCAGGACCTACATTAATCGGTGGTCGCCGGTAGTACGATAACGCCTACTCATAATTCATATCTGCATATTAATTTCAAAACATCATTAACGAAACTATAGATAGTGAAAAATAAGCATTTGTTACATGCTTCAAGTGAAAGTACTATCTTTGCGAAAAATCTCTGTATTAAGGACGATGTCGATTAGTGCATTGGTAAAACAATATATTTGAAAAATATGGAGTATGCGTTGAAGGGTCTTCAGTACATCACAGAAAGTTAATAGTATTGTAGTGCCGCTGAGATGGCTCCACCTAGCGGCAGTGTTGGGGAAGTTACTCACAAAAGTAATCAAATAAAGACGGGGGAGGGGGGGGGGGGCTCGGATCCAGACCAAGGTTTATTTCAACCAACCAGCTGAGTATAAAGAGTCACATTCACAGAATACTCAACAGGTATACGCAACAGGTCTTACTATAATGAGATTATGTAAGGTATTACCAAATTTGATCATGCACATACTTAATTTTACGTTAAATATATTAATATTTAATTAGCGAATAATATGTCACATGCGCTGAATTATGAGTCATATACGAACTACGTTTGAAAACACCTGCTGAGCGCCACGTGAAAATGATTAACACCCGATTAGGGTCATGTGATTAGAAATGCGCGTGATTTGACGTGTTAGTTTTCATACTAGCTCAGAGAAGCCAAATGAAAGTATAGGTTTGAAGGTAAGTGTAAAATTACCTACCGAAAGAAATACTTTTGCAATCTGTATAATACCATTGTTAATTCATGTGGATGAACGCTCCGTTCATGTTGCATAAGATAGAATATAAAATATTGTTAACGTGGCAGAATTAAGCACGTAAAATTTTGTGCCTCAGTAGTACGAATGTTGCATGTTGTGTCTTATTCATGTTGTAGTTTGATTACGTATCTGCACCTATACTAGCTTATCTATTGATTCTTTCCAAAAAAAGTGTTTTTTACCTGGAACCACCACAGCAAGAGACCAAACCACCCTTAGAGGAAGATGTCTGCTGCTTCAGATGAACTGAATGGCCTGGAAACCGGCAGATTGTGGGGTATTACCAAGCAACAAGATGACCAAAAATGTGAAGATCTCTTAGGTAGGTGTGAGATAACAACAGATATCAGATGATTCAGTCAGATTTTATATACTTTAGTGTTTGACATCTGAAAAAGTCATCTGGTTTGGACAGACCAACTACCAAGTGATTACAACAACTGAACAGAAAACTACCAGGTTATGGAAAGTGAAGTGTTTTGAAAACTAGTGGTTTTCTGGATTGTCTTTGCTGTAATGCAGTAAGTTGTCCCTTCTGCAGATTTTAATCTTGCATCCCTGTTTTGTAGAGGCTCTGTATAGCCCCGCTGGCGGTATCGCAGCTGCGTTGAGGTCTGTCGCATCCTGGAACACATGGAATCATAGTCCAGCCGCACTCTCCCCAGGTCCTCGGTTCACCTTCCCTGGACAGGACGAGCCTCAGAATGTGCCGCCTCCAATGGCCTCCCCCTATGCAGAGGTCCCAGGAAAAAGAGGGTTTGTGTGTTTTAAATCGCATGTAAAACCGTCTTAGTGGGAATACAGGACTGCCTGAAACTTTTTTTTTCTCTTTTTTTTTGATCTTCAGATATGAGATCAGTCTCAAGGAGAGCGATAAAGATGTTACTGAAATCACAAGTGCATCAAAGTATTGTCAATCCTGTAAGAAATTCCCTTTCATGTAAATTTCATTGCGTTTGTTCTTTTGTATAGAGTGCAGATTTTCAGTCTTTATTGATATTATATTTCAACAGCAAGTTCGTAACTAATGTAATATAAGTACAGTAGCTATGTTGATCTTGTGCAAAATGCACTGAACCACAAAACGGGTGTAATTCTGATATTGGGTGTACAACATTCCCGAAATGAACAATGGGCTTCTAAATGGGGAATTTGAAATCCAAAAATGTCTGGTTGCACTGCAAAAAAATGGTCTTTCAAATTTAAGAAACCGCTTCTGTTTTGAGACAATTTTGCTAGTTTTAGGCCTTATCTTCTGGTGCAGTAAGAAAATTGTACTTGGTAAGATTCCATAAAATAAGACAATACACCTAAATACAAGCAAATTACTCTTAAGATGTTGTTAGTTTAATGAAATGTAGAATTTTATCTAAATATAAGAATTATCCTTGCTTAGATTTTCATTTTTTTTGCAGCATACTACTAAACAGGAATTCATTCTTCAGATATTCTGTTATTCCAGCATTATTTGATGTATTTTACTGTTGTGTCTCTTATAACAACTTGTCCCATGCAGTGCAATTCTGAACAACTTGAAATGTCCCCCCCCCCCTTTCCTGTTTGCTGATGGACAGCACCCCTGTACCAGGAGTACTGCCTGCAGAGCGTACAGGCGGAGATGCAGAGGATTCAGGGCAGTGACCTGTCTGCTCTGGCGGTCGCCATTAGCCTGCCCGGCCTCCTGAAGTGCCACAGTGCCACAACGACGTCGTCACCTCCTGCTCCTCGCTCCTTCCACCAGGAGAAGGGCAGCCTTCTGTGGCAGGATTTACCTGAGGTTCGAGAGCAGGGTCTCCTGATGAGACTGGGTCGAAAGGAGATCAAGCTACAAGAGGTGGAGTGTGTCTTTTAGTTAACTACATACTTATTAGTTGGGGCACCAATAATAATGTTATGCTATAACTTATGCTGTATTAATTAACCACAAACTAAGTCTTGGTTACATACTGATCTCCTTAATTCATCAGTAATTAATCGTGATGCATGTTTTATCTCAAGCAGTTAGTATATCTCTCAATTCTGTAAGGGACAAGTCATGAATAACGAGTGAAATAATGAACTCCTGTTCATCATAAAAGAATCATCATGCTACATCTCAATTAGTGACTATTCGTTTGGGATTTTTACTTCAGTAATAACTGTTATTACTAAGTACTTGTGTCCTGTAAAGTGTTACCAAAATTTCTTTATGTATAGAAAAAAATTGTCTAACATTCAGAGTAGCTTGCGGTCCTGTTCCATGAGCCATTGTGTAGTGTACTTTTGGACAGAATAGCAACCATTTAATGTATTTTAACGCGTGTCTTGTCTTGATTGATCTGTGTTGCTGAGAGCACATATTGTGATTGTGAGCTGGTGCATCTGCCTGAAAGGAGGCCGATTCGGAGAATATCCCGTGCGTCTCCGTCTCCTAGGCCATGTTCGAGCTGATCAGGTCAGAGGCCTCATATCTGAAGAGTCTGACAGTGGTGGTGACTCATTTTCGAGGGTCGCAGACGTTACGCCTGTCCTTGCCTACTGTGGAACACCACTTTCTCTTCTCAAACCTTTTGGATGTCCAGAGAATGAGTGAGCGGTAGGTCCTGAGCAACCCTGGGCATGTGCCAAGGATGGATTTCTGCAGTGATTTGTAAACCAGATTCGTTTTAATAATCTTTAATTTGCATTGCAGTTTCTGATAGCTACTGGGAACTGAACCGATTAACTGTTGCTCCAAGTGTTTAGGTGTAAATGACAGGCTGCCCTATAATTGGAACACCTGTGCAGAAACAGAACTGCAAAGGCTGACTGTCAAATTTAGATAAATGTGATGACGGGGGGGTTCTCATTTTTAAGGATTTACCATCATTCAGTAGAAACGCTTTAGTAAATATGAACTCTTAAGCCCTAAGTATCACACCTGTATTACAGTCTTTCAGTCCTTAAATGTTTCATAATGGGGGTGTGGAATGGCCTGTCACATGCTGGCCATTACAATTTTGATGCATAATATCTAATAGTTTTCTGTGACTTTTCTCATGAGGATCAAGGTAGATGGATTGAACTGAATTGCATTTTGCTAGTATTCGTGTATGAGAGAATGTTGTGTGTCCTTGGAAAAGAAAAATGACAACCATCTATGTTGAATGCTTGCAGGTTCCTGCTAGACTTGGAGGCCCGTCTAGGGCAGAATGTCATGATGAAGCAGATTGGGGACCTTGTGCTTCAGCACCATGCCGCACTGCGTCGGGTCTACGTGCCATACATCACCAACATGATGTACCAGGAAACACTCCTCAAACGCCTGATGTCTGTCACTTTCCTTTCCCTTTGTCAGAATGGTAAGTGGCTGCTGCTTTTTGGACCTCATCTTCCCTATTGTACAGGCAGGAAAACCGAGGATTTGTGCAAGCTTTGAAGAAACTGGAGCAGGACCCTGCATGCCAGCGACAGAATCTCAAGTCCTTCCTGGTACTGCCCTTCCAAAGGATCACTCGATTGCGGATTGTTCTGGAGGTGATGCTGTCATCCTTGAGGGTTGATGAACTGATCACCCTTTTGAACATGGGCTTATTCTGTACCTTGTATAGAACCAAAGTTTGAATGCTCTGCGCATCTACACTCGCCTAAAGGATTATTAGGAACACCATACTAATATGGTGTTTGACCCCCTTTCGCCTTCAGAACTGCCTTAATTCTACGTGGCATTGATTCAACAAGGTGCTGAAAGCATTCTTTAG